TCTAGGAAGATGCCGGCGAGCCCGTCAAGAGGTGTGTGCCTCCGTTTCAGGGGTTTGACATGGTAGACCATGATTGCGCGGCTGCCGTCAGTGCGGGGACGATATCAGCGACGGGGAGAGAAAAAGATGAGAGAAAAGTCAGGGAAACACGATGCGCAGTTTGCTAGGGGAAGAGAAACGACGACCACTCCACCATACTGAGAAGAGGGGAGAAATGTAAGCCTTGACTAGGAAGACACTTCGAGACGCGTTCCGCGCCTTGGCCACCCGGGCCCACGGGCTCCCGTCATTAGTCCAGACGGCACAGCCCGTCTTGCGATCTGCGTCGATCACGGTGATCGATCCGTGTTCCTCGTTTGTGCCTGGCTTGGTAAGATTGGTGTTTGAGACGTACATATTCCGTGGGCGCGCCCGAACCCCGTGTCAACTTGGTGGAGAAACAGGTCAAGATTCTACCCCGAAACTCATGACCACGGTACCATTGAATCAAGAAAAATCGTGAACATACATTTGTTGCCCGCTCACGGCACAAATTCGTCTCGAACCACTCATGTTCTGCCCATGGACCAGTGCGTCCTGGAGATGCTGTGAGATATTCCGATAATAGACCAGAACCGGAGCCTTCAAGGGCGACTTCAGGTGTCAGACTCAAGGCCCGAGGTTTAGCAAACATAAAATTGGCAAAGTAGGCCGAAGTGACTGGATCGACATGGTATGGCGGCGCCTGAATACATGCTTGGCAGCAGAAAGCCAATGAGTTTCAGTCCGGTGCCGTTGCTTACACAACAGCATTCGTTATCGGTCCAAAGCATTGGAGTCGGAGATTCATTGGAACATCTCAATGCCATTCGTTCACGCATGGCGAACATGTGACTTGAAATCAGATGCCTTTTGACAGTTTGATTTAAGCTCGTTGCCTTTCTTCATCCACGAGTGCGAGCTCCGCGTTGCGATAACGAGTCGAACTCTCATGCTGCATACAGAAAGAATGATTCTTTGACATCCAAGTGGATGGGAAATGATCTTCAAAAGATAGACGGGGTTTAGAATATTCCGCGTAGATATGATTGGCTGTAACCGGCCGGTCGAGGCTGTATCTGGCGGCCGACTACGACGGGGAGTCGGCGTCGTCGCCGAGGACATACCGGACCAAGACATAGACGTCTCAAGAAGTGGAGACCCATTGTGTCGATATGCGAGGCGTCAAAGGTAAAATTTAGAATGCTGTCATCCTTTTCCTCCCGAATGATGACTGCCTGGCGGATCAAGGTTCTGAGCCGGGATCCGAAGGGAGGGGACCGGAGCAAGTCATAGTCGCTGGCACGAACGAAACTTTGAACGAATCATTCGAGTCTGCGTCGTAAGTTCCATGATGAGCAGTTTTGTTATTTCGGGGGCTAAATGGGAACCGGTAGGCATAGTGTAATTGTCCAAGAAACACATGACAATTTTGTGTTCATGGTGGTCCCAAGTGGCCCTCATCGATGACCTTAGACCCAATCTGCTACTATGAGATCTACTAGCCAAGCAAGATATACCATTTCGGGACAATTGGGCATCTCGAAGAATTGGAATCGTTTTTCCCATGATTTTATCAGATCCCATCATCAATCCCACCGGCTCGGCGACATGGACAAAATTACCCAGGCAATCTGGATTCCGAAGGGAAGGGAGAATGCTTCGCCGGCAGTGAACTGAGCTAGTCTCTGTACTACCCCAACATCTAGATCAACTCGATTCTTTGGGTGCCGTTAGCGCGGAAGAGTGCCGGTCTGATAAGCAACCCTGCGTTCCAGAGGTCTGGATCCGGACAGGGGGAGGCCACAAGTAGGGTAACTTCCTTGACTGTTGATGATTACTGATTTCAAAATTCCTCGCACAGAAATGCGTTCAATATCCAGCCAGCCAGCTTTCGCAGTGGCTGGCGTGGGCACCCATGGGAACCACATCGCGTCTCGAAGTCTAGATCGACCATTCCATCGGGGACGACGTCTCCCCTCGAGCTCACCACAAAGAAGAGTGCAATCACTTGCTGGGCAAGCTGTAGTAGCAAGAAAGACTAGTCCACATAACGTAGCTCGTAAGTCAGCTTTAGCTAGCGTACCGAGTGAAGAATCAAAAATGGTTCACGCTTCTTGGGGCCCGTCGTGCCTGTCACCTCTTCATGATTGGTGTGGAACGTATCATCTACGCGAACATGGCCGCATCCGGCGATTCTTACGCCACCGCCGCCTCCAACTTTCGCCAAGCTAGATGCGGCTGGATGCTATGTAGGCTTTTCGTAAATCGTAAACTCTTTATCGTCATTACTGCTGTCGAAGCACCACAGTACCTCAGCAAGACTCAAGCCTCTCCGAGTCGGCGAATCCAGTCGGCCGGGGCGCACCAGTGAGCTGCGGCGAGCCACAAACTAAGTCTAGCTCTTGGAGTCTTCGCGAACACTTCGCTCTTCAGGGTCGAAGACATTGAACCATAGAACTATCCGGCCCTGCTTGTTCTCTCGATAGCCAGCCACGCGGAGAGGCTTGTCAATTCTCAAACCGCGCCATTGTAGCCCTCGAACTGTCAGATATCAGCCCACCGGCTTTGTTGAAGACACTTGGAGCCAGTTCGTAGCGGGCGGGCGCTGGAATACCTTCAAAGTCCGCGTCACACAGTATTCCCGTTCGGACTTTGTTTGAGGTTTTTTGGTGTCGTTAGTGAGTTCGTTGGGAAGCCCATATCGTTGTGGCATATCCCATATCAATCTTGTCGTGGGAGTACATCCAGATCTTTGCACATCACCCATGTCCTTGGCACGATCACTTCTGAATCAGATTTACGGCATCGAAACTGGTTTGGGAAAGAACAATGCCATAGGCCGTTGAGAGATCGTCACCAAGAAGTTTCACCTGGGATCGTCGGCGCAATTACATCTTTGGCGACTAGGGCATAGTGAAGGCAGTCATACATCACGATGGTATCCGGTAACGAGAGCTTCGGCGCCAGTCTCGAGCGTCAGAGTTGGATACACTATTCAATAGGGATGGCCTTCATCTTCCTCAGAATGTTCGTTCAATAGGCCCCTGTCAGCGGTCGGAAAGGAGCCAAGCTAACATATTTCCTTGATAGGTATGGAAGAGCAAAGAGGTTAGGTGGTGTCTCCAACTTTGAAGCCGACGACTATCTCCAGATTCTCGCAGCAGTATGTTCGACCGCGTGGAGTATCCTCTCAAGAAACTGAACAACCGGAAATTGACTCCTTGTCGCGTGTTAGGTGCTCTTCACCGTCCTTGTAGCCCTCCTCAATATTATCACCGACGGAGGCGGCTCGAACCTCTACCCTCCAGAACTAGAAGGAACCTTCACCCAAGCCGAGATCGAAGACCGCATCCACGGCTCCAAGATTGTCCTCGTCTCGGAGCAGGCGATGTTGAACCTCATCTATGTCCTCAAAGCCTGCGTACTGATCCTCTACACCCGCCTCACCCTCAACCTCGCCGCTCAGCGCCTCGTGCGTTGGCTAGCAATGTACGTCGCTCTTGGATGGACCGCGACGCAGATAACAATGTTCGCCGCCTGCCGTCCCTTCAGCGGCTACTGGGCTATGCCGCCACCCGACCCGCAATGCACAACGTATGAGAACTACGCCATCCTCCAGGGCTGGTTCAACATCTCTTCCGACATGCTGATGCTAATGATTCCCCTTCCGCTCGTCTTTCGTATGAAGGTGCCCTGGAAGCAAAAGGTCGTTCTCTTGTTCGTCTTCAGTCTTGGCATCTGCGTCATCGTCGCGGCGCTGCTGACCAAGATCTTCAACCTGACCGACCCGTACAGCCCTACATACATGCTGTGGTACATCCGTGAAGCGAGCGTGGCCGTCTACGTATCGAACCTGCCGCTTGTTTGGCCGCTGCTGAGGGAGTGGTTCCCATTTCTGCGGAACCTCAAGACTGCGGGCGTGCTTCCGACACCGTCTAATCAGGCAACGGGGCACCGGACGAAGCAGGATGCGAACATGTCGTCGGGTGTCACCGTTCACAGCACACACCGGGGGCCTGCGCCTGCGGGGGTGCCGAACTCGAGGAGGCATACCTTTGAGGAGTTTGGGAGCTGGCTCAGCGCTAGTGACCTCGAGCTCCAGAAGCCGGCGCGCGTTTTGAGGTCGACCGCAAGTAGGCGGCACATTTTGGAGGAGCACGATGATGACGAACCTGAGAGCTCAGCTATCGGGGAAGAGAAGAGCGTGAAGAGGGTGTCTTTGGTGGCAGAGTATAGCGTTGGTGACGGGGAGAGCAGCATGGGATTAAGTCCAGTGCCCCAGCTGTCGCCTTTGGAGACCGACCACGGCATGATCGATTGGGAATATCAGCGTCAGAGTCGGTTCATGCGTAGGTCAGGAGCGACAAACTTTACCGTGGGACATGGTCTGCTTGCTTCGGAGGAGCGAGACCGGAGTCAGGGCGCAGCGAGTTGACCAAGTGAGAACTGACGTTAGGCAGTCTCTCTGCGGGATAGGCGATGGTTCGGGGTTGGCTTACTGGCGTCTATGTCGGGTTCATGGTTTGGGGATACCCTGGGACTGCTTTCACGGCGTTACATTGTAGTTATCGACATGCTAGGAGGGCCGGCACTCAGTCTGGCCGAGTATCTGTGCTCAATGATACTGATTATTCTCGATGTCATACCATGACCCAGATCGTTGTGCAGTCGTTGGTGTCGCCATTGGGGATGGTTAATAGACGGAACTATGTCCGCCGATTCGCTGCGCTGTGCCAGGGAGTCATGAAGTTTGTAAGAAGTATTCGTATTCGCGTGCCTCAAAGGGCAATGGTATCTATGAAAGGCATGAAGAACAAAACAACAGGGGTATCGAAGCAATTCCAAACATCGCGCAACGTCTTTCCGTCTTCGGCTCGTAGTCGTACTATTCGCATGTCTCGTCAAGTTCCCGGCCGGCGGGATGTTCCTTATGCAGTACTCCCATCCAACTTGCGATTCAGGCATTCGTCCAGACCTGCTCAGTCCAACCAACTCCAAGTGCCAGTGACCCTGCCTTCGTCCTTATTGGCCAATTTGTTGAAAACCGCGGGGCTTAAATCGAGATCGGTCGGCGCGCAGCCGGTACATCGATCCACAACGGTGACATCCACCGATCCCTCGCCATCACGCCGGACGCGGATCTTCTTGCCGCATAGCGGGTTATTGTTCGGATTGCCGCCGCTCTGCACGTCGTCCCACAGATAGTGCGAAACCGAGACAATCATGTCGCTGTCGCTGCTCGTCTTTCCGCAGGCGCCGAGCCCGGGAGCATAGTACGTGAGGTCACCGGTGTGAACGTCTTGGTTGTTCGGAAGCGGTAAATCTTGCTTTCCTCCGCCACGCTTAGAGAGACCGAGGCCGAGGGCTAGAGGGAGGATGAGCAGGAGCAAGACCGCTAGGGGCAAGACAACGAAGAGAAGGAATCGCTTTCGAGAAAGGCCAGAGTAGGTCTTTTGTGGCGGGAGCAGAGCATCGAAGCGAGCTGCTAGGGAGGGATGGGCCTTGGATGCTGTCGTTGCGCCTGTAGCGGCCGCCGCGCCGGTGGTAGGAGCGGTCAGATGGGCGTGATCATCTGAGCGTTGGGTATCCTCTTTCGCGAAGCCACCTTCGTTCGTCGCCGTGGGAGCAGCAGTGTTGCTATTGTCGCGTTGGTGGCCAGTCGTCGCTGGAGCGAAGCGATCAAAGAACGAGCGACGCTTGTTGGCCATGGGGGTCTCCCAGTCGGGGGTCTGGTAGGTTTGCGCCGGGCGCTGGATGCCTTGTTCCTCGTCGGTCATTGTAAGGGTGAGCGACTGTCGCGAGATGTTTCAATGCCGCAGGAGCTGTTGTGTGGTACTGTTGAGTCGTCAAAGACGGATCGAGGGCATTGTTCGTGATCAAAGACGCTGTGTTGTGGTGTTTTGGCAGGTTATAGGAACAGGTGAAGCTGTCTCGTATGCGCCAGAGAGGGATATGAGCGATGGGTAACAATGGTAGGGAAGAACAAGAAAGAGAGGATGACGCTGGTAGTGGCAGTGATACTTTCGCCAGCCTGCAAGGTCGCCAGCCTGTCAGGTCCTGTTGAAACCCTGATGACGAGGAAAGCCGACGAACGGCAACTAATTGGCGATGGCGATGATCTCCGTCCTTGCCGCCCGCCAGGATGGGAAACTTGATTTCGCGATGATTGTGGCTGGTGGGAACGAGGGGCACGTTGCAATGCAGGGGCCGTCAAGGGGCACCTTAACGTGCTTTAGGCCGAGGTGGCTGGACCCTTCTAGCCGTACTGGGTATAGCCTCCGGTACGTACTGATGTGGACCTGCAGAAGCGTGGCTGGTGGGGCAAACCCTCCTTCCCTGATTTTGGGAACCGCCACCCACTCTCACCACCGCTTCAACTCAAGCTCATCAATCATTGAGTGCCTTATGAAACTCATGAGACTACTAGCAGCCGAGAGTTCGACTTCGTGGGTCCAATAAGTCGAGCTAGCTGACCAGTATACACTCATTGATTCCTATCCGATGCTTAAGAAATCTTCACCTGGCCCGACTGCCTGCATGCAGTGCCCCGCAAGAACCGTTTCCTTGTCCTAGTTGAAGCAACTAAAAAGTGCTTCTTCTTTCATTTATGGAAATCTTCAGTCTGAAGTCTCAGGTCATCTTCTCTCAGTCGAACATGTTGATCGATCGTTGCGGAATCCTGTCTCTCTCATGCAATGCCGCTCTTGAGACACAGTCCATGCACCTCCCTGGTCATCTCAAGGAGTGTCGAAATAACTAAGAGAGACGGAATTGATATACGCTGAAGAGTAAACCCTTGCTCTCATTTATCGCTTTTCAACTCACAGTCTTACTCTCACTTCGCTCGGCCTCCCCTGCACAATTCTCTTCCGGCTCCAAGGAGCTATGTCTCGCATTCAGCTCTCACATGAACCATCACCAGGGGTATTATCGTGATCGAACAACGGTTTCCTTCTCTCATCAATAAGTCCTTGGAACCTCAAAGCTCGACTGTACGCAGAGAGAGATAATAGTTGCACTGTTCAACAAGCGATGGTCTTTTTGATGGTGATGTTGGATGCCTAGCGTTCATCTCACTCATCCTCTTCAAGATTTCTTATATCAAGTCACCTTAATTGCCCATGCGACATCGTCCAATTTGTACATTCCCTATGATAATCCAAGAAACTTCCAATACTCCATCAGGATTCATTCATCGGCCCAGTTGCAATCATTTCTCTAACCACATAGTTGCAAACCATCATGTTCTTCAGCTGCCGCGCCAAACAGCCCACGCCTCCGCCGCCCCGGCCGCACTGCGTCTACTCTGGCTGCATTCATAAGGTCTTGAAATGCGAGGCACCGGCCAAAGCTAAGCGCATTCTCTCCATCTTTTGCAAAGATCGTGGGTTCAGTCCCCGCAGCCTGCTGAAGAGCCCAGTCTGACGTCATCTCGAGATGCCTGCCGGTCACGTACTGGTGAGAAGATGTGTACAAACCCCAAACAGCCTGGTTTATCCAAGTACTGCGAAGATCGTACGTTGCATTGCCTTGACCCAATCATCTCTTCGGCTGTCTGTATGTGGTACTGATCATGTTCATCTGGGAGAAGACGGCCGCTGCCACTGCCAGGGCTGTACCGTCCAGCGCATCTTCGCCGACGCAAACCAGGACTGGCCATATTGCCAAAGCCGTACGTTTCTCGTGACTTCCTGATCCTTCATGTCGCATTACCCATCGACTCTGATGCTGATTCAACCGCTTCTCTGGCAATGCAGATACTTGCGCAACCTACGGATGCCACAATAAGCGGGCCACTAACTCCCAAATGTGCAGCTTCCACACGCCTATTTGCCTTATTCCCGCCTGCGGTCACCCGCGCGTCGGCGACGGCCTCTACTGCCCGAGTCACAGCTGCACCGACAAGGACTGTAACAGCGTAATCGCCGGCGGCAACTGGTGCAGAGATCACCGGCTCTGCAAGACCGCGGGGTGTGACTCGCTGAGAGTCGTCTCGCCCGGTGGAACACACGAGGAAGTTTGCTGGTTCCGTGAGTCTTCATTCACCGGGCCCTAAGTCTAGTCATTACATTCAAAGGACGGGGAAACTTACATGGCAAGCGCCTCAGATTTACCGACAGCTTGCAACGCGACAGCCTGCGGAGCCGTCGTCAGCGGCGGCGTCCACTTCTGCCCCCAGCACGAGTGTACATATCCGCCATGTCGAGAGCGCAAAGACAACGCAACAGATGCATCAAGACTCTACTGTGCCAGTCGTAAGATGACATACTCAGGCCTACCCTCTTTCACGCAAAAGCTCGCTAACAAAAACCTCTCTCGCTCGCTCACCAGACACCTGCCACGCCCAAACCTGCCCCCAACCAGCAGCAGACCTCGCGAACCCCTCGAAACCGCCACACCAACCGAGCTTCTGCGTAGCGCACAAGTGTGCAGCAAGCCCAGAGTGTCCTCACCCTTCCAAACCGTCTAGCCGCCGCTGCGCACTCCACGCCTGCCTGCACCCGTCCTGCCCAGCTCCGCGCGCCGACGATCCGCTCCTCGTCTCCGCGAGCCAGTTCTGTATGAGCCACGAATGCCGGGCTGCCGGATGTCATGGTGCCGCGAGACCAAATGGGAGTTTTTGCGACGCGGTCCACGCCTGCGTCGTTCCCGGGTGCCCTTCCCCGCGCGGAGTTGGAACCGGTGGGCAACTCGGAGCCGGTGGCCCCGGATCGGTATGCTGCGCCTTACACACGGCCATGATTGCCCGCGACACCGCGGGCTGGAGCACGGCTACCGAGCGCAAGGGCATGCCCACGCCGCCTTCCTCTCCGCTACCGCAGAGACAGAAGCAGAAATTCCCGTATCTCAGTCAGACGGAGGAGGCGCTGGGAATGCGGTTCAGGGAGGAGAGGAATAGGCATGATCAGGAAGCTAGACTTGCGGAGGAGACGAGGGCTTGGCACGCTGTTACCACGGCTTCTGCTGCTCGTGGCGGAAATGGTGATATCGAGGTTGTTGGGGGTGTGCCATTGCCAGGAGGGCTCGAGACGAGGGGCAAGAGGCACAAGGCCAGGAGAAGGGGGAGTTATGATAGTGGGGTCGCGCCTAGTCCGACTGTGAGTGAGGGAACTTCACCGAGTGACTTTACGTTTGTGAGTTGAGGATTGTGTGGAATACGAGATGAATAAGGCCTAGATGATCCAGAACAGTAAACGATAGAGAAAGAGGGGGGGAGGGGGGGGAGAGAGAGGCAAAGAGAGAGTGAGAGTATTGGGAGACAATCATAGAGACTCGGCCTAGACAGTGCTGGACGGTCATCTGCTTCGATCGGCACTTGGGAAACAGTCTTATCCACAAATCATTTTCTAAATTTTCTTTAATCTAAGGAACGTATGGTGCTAATACTGCTTTGAACGAGCGGACGGCTTCATAGACGAAACCAAACGTAAAGCAAATAACGAAGCACTCTGACCAACAACTCTTTCAAGCGGCAGTCTTTCAAAGAACGAGATACACCAATTTTCAAGATCCATACAAACAGATGACAGAGGTTGTTGTACATAAGCACAAACCCAGCTGCTGAGTGGAAACTTGAAATAGAGGCAACGACGCAAGGGGTCGGCTCGCGCCATCCACTCACGCAGCGTCGCCGTCTAAACCCGGAACAAGACACCTCACCGCGTCTTTCCAGGTGCAAGAGGGTCACAGACGAGCCAACAGAAGACCACCAGGCAGGAACCCGGCATCGCTATCGATTCAGACTGCCCCCCTCTTAGCCTCGGGGGATCCATCTAGGCCCACGCCCCGACAAGACTCATGCCAAAGGCGCCAAAGAAGACGAGCACGCAGGCCCAGACGCGCTTCGAGCCCCTCAGGACACGCCAGCTCTCATCGGACAGGAAGTCCTCAGCCAGAAGCTCAATCAGCGCAGCGAAGACCAGTAACCCAGACGAAATGGCATTCATGGTGCCGACGAGGATGAGGCCAAACTCCGAGTCCGGGCTGTAGAGTCGGTGAGTTGCGAGACCGATGGCCTGGCCGATGGGCGTGGTGCAGCCGTAGGCAAGGGCCATCATCCAGGGCTGGAGGCTGCCCTGGGGCCAGTCAATGTTCGCAATGCGGGAGCCGAGGGCGAGGCCTTCAAAGGTCTGGTGGAAGGCGATTGCGATGAGGAGGATGACGAACTCGTGACCGACGGAGACGGAGAGGGTCATGCCGATGAAGACGGAGTGGAAGAGGATACCGACTTCGAGCATCATGCACTGGAGGATGTCCTTTTGGTGCTGCTGTGCGGGGGTCAGGACGATGCCGCCGTTGGAGTTGACTTGCACGGCACGGTTCTCCTCGTCAACGATGACGCGCTTCTCAACGCGCTGCTGTTGCTGCCCCTGATCGGTTTCATCGCCAGCCTCGGGTTGGTTCGGGGCGAGTACGGCATCATCGGGTCGGCAGCACATCTGGCGGGCAGGGGAGAAGACCATCTCGATGACGGTGACGAGGAAGATGCCGGCCAGAGCGATGGCTCCCGGCATGGCGGGGTAATCCTCGACCCAGAAGGAGCTCAGGCATGGGTTGCCGAGAAGGGTGAAGGCCGTCGGAAGAAGGTGAACGAAGGCGGTGGCGAGGAGGACGCCGGTACCGAAGTGGCGGACAGCGAAGAAGAAGGGTCGGGGGATTCGGATGGCGGGAATACTCTTCGCGATGAGCGGGAAGGCGCAGGCGAGAAAGGAGGTTGCGAGGATGATGAAGAGGGCGCCAACGTGGAGAGGCGTGTTGTAGGCATCTTCGTCGCCGAGGCCGCCGGTCGGGCAGGTTGAGCGGGCTGTAATGCGGTCGTGGTCGTGGGTGTGGGCGTGGCGCTTGGTGATGGCTTGGGATATTGTCAGCTTACATTGTATTGAGGCATTGGTGGTGAATAGAAGGAGTAAGGGGAGTCTAAGTGAGATGAGGCGCAATGGGATGAGATGAGATGGAATGAGATTCGTATCTTGATACATGTGCGCAATGGGTTGATGCGGCCCCGTCTTTCGAGAGACTGTGATGAAGAAAGATCAACTTACAATGAGTAGTTTCTTTGGTCGCGACAAGGAAAGACGCGACAGCCTCGGGGCTCTTGAGGGCAGAGATGATGGCTGAGCAGCCAATGACGGACATGATCCAGCTCACCCAGCCCCAGAGGGCGGAGCGGGCGGGCGCAGAGGCCCAAAGGAGAGGTGTATGGTCATCACCACCATGCACCTTTTTGTTTCGGGGATGGAAACCTGGGGAGAATTAGTATGCGTTTAAGAATGTTGTGTGTGGTTAAATGTCGTTGAAGATGCCGGCCGATGCCGCATGCACACCGAGAGTGGTGAGTGAGGTGAGTAATGGGAGAGAGGAAACCCTGATGTCGTTGGTCCCAGTCTCCGCATCATCGCACTCGTAACACCCCCCAACGTCGTTGAACAATAATGTTCAGGATTTCTTCATAGGAACTCAAGACTCACCGTGTTTCCACCCTCCCGAAACGCGTAGCCTCCGATCGGGCTGCAGACGTGGCAACGTCTGGTAATTCATGTCGTCACCCCGGCCGTCGGATCCATCGCCGGCGCCGCCCCGGGCCCTGCGTTGCTCGCGGGCGTTGGCAATGCCGTTCAGATCCTCACAGGTGGTGAGGTCGGCAGACAAGAAGGGCGGGTTCTGGTTCCAGTCTGGATGCTCCAGCGTGATGTCGTCGTTGCGCGAAGGGCAGTTCATCGTGGGCGAGAACGACCTTTTGCTGTGGTTGTCTTTCTACGGGGGGGACTGGAGTCCTTTCGTTGGGTCGATTGGAACTTGTCTTCGTTACTGTCTACTTGCTGTCGGTCTGGATTTGGTATGATTTGATGTGGTGTCTGGTTTGATTGGAATCGTAAGAGGATGGAGTTATGAGAATAAGAAGATGGAGATGGAATCACACGAGTCAATCTTTCGAGGTCACTGGGGATCAAGGTACCTTAGTACCTCGAGGTCGTCAATTTGGGTACCTTGAGGTAATGGTGGGGGCTCGCTGTGGTGTCAAGTACTTCCACACCCAACTACATATGAGTAGTGACATCCAGTCGCTGTTCTATTCGCAACCTTGAGGGAGCCGGGTGCAGCAGGGCCCCAAGCCTCAGGGGGGAAGGGGAAGAGGAACCTTGAAAGACCTGGCCCGACTGGCTGTCCCTAACTGTGCCGTCTTCGGGATCTAGAAATTTTTAGGGCAGCGGGGCGGGAACTTGCTTCGGCCAAATGCGGAAGCGAGTCACACAGCCAGTCTCAGCCTCAGCATCACTCATTCTGTAATCCCTAAGTACCTACTTACATCAAGGCGATTAATGAGAATGAAAGCCGTGTTTGAACGTGGCTGCCGGGGCCGAGGAGGGGCTCCTGGGCGGACGGAGGACTGTGCCGGTGGGACTTTGCACTTCATGCTCGTAGTGTAAGGTACTGCGTAAACTGTAAACCCAATCTTCGTACCGCGAAACTCGGACGCCGATGTTGACTGGAGACTCTCGGAAGACGGCAATAGGTCAGATACTTCGGATGTTTAACTCGAACACTGCTCAGGCTTGCTGTAGTCTGTTCAAAATCATGACTCTCATCCCCTCCTCTCAGTCATTCACTCAAGGTGACCTGTGGTGGGCTTGGCTGACGATGATGACCTCGTTGCGTATCACTGCTAGCAACCCCAAGTCCAATCATTAGCACCCTCTCCGTGACCTCTTCGCGCCGAGGATAAACAAGCCATCATCACTACCGGCAATGCATATATCCCCCCTTTTCCCCCAATCTCAAACCGTTCGCCCGCATCACTTAGACCCCGCGAAAAGAACGTCACTGGATATAGAGTACCCGGTTCTTCCCATAGTCGCATTGCCTACCACCCAGTGATGGGCGTTCCCGCTTACCCCATGGGGCTGAATGCTCCCGCTCTATTCCGAAGCTCAGGCCGCAGGACTAGAGATAGCCGACAGCGACAGATAGCGGATAAGTCAGATCCAACTCCTTCTCCTCCGTGGCTGCGGTAGGCCGCTGCTTCGAGTGTGCTCGACTTCGTGTCTTGACTTTGACTGCAATCTCTGCTTCTCTCGCTGTGACGAGGCCAGGTGTCATGCCCTGAAAGGTGCCCAGGCCTCAGACCGCCCGGTGCGAGGTTAGAGACGCGTCAGTTGACTTGGCCCTGGCTTCTTGGCTGCACCTTGGCCACTGGTCACCGTTTCTACAACGTAGTGTAATTTCAGTCCTTGAGTCTTGGCCTTGGGCTACAGCCTACAGGTCACACAACTGTGTCCGGTGCCGGAGTGGCTTCGAGTGACTCAAAACTCATCCGAGTAGAGGGCAATCGGACCCGGAGATGGAGCAGAACCAGCAAGTTGACCCGGGTCAATTGCGTGTCGCCGCGAGTCTTCGGATCCGAGAGCCGTCTTGTCATGGGGCCATGTGCTTGCCCGTGACCGAATGCTCGGAGACCGGCGCCGGTTCGATGTTAACTGCAATGATGTCTCGCCCTCTTCCGCTACCATACAGATAGCTGCAATTTTCTTTGTCAAGGAAGGGGGCATAAGGTGCCAAAGACATGAGGATCAAGTTGGGCTGGAAATGACACTCTTCTTGATCGTGCAGTTGGGCGAAGGAATGTTTAGACACACAGCACTGGATGATCTCGAACTCAGGAAAGATCGCAGCGAAAACCAGATCTGGGCCGCTGGGTTCTCAGATCAGGTACGTACTGAGAGTACGCCACTCCTCATCAAGGTTAGCTTGGTCCCAAAAAGAAGATTACATAAGAGCTCTGTGCTCCCTCAAAGGTTAACCAATCAGTGACATTCCGTTAGTCATTTCCTTCCGATCACATGAGTGTGAGCCAAAGCGGCAGGGAGACCGTAATAACTTTTGTAAACTGAGCTGAGGAAGATTAACAAGAAGCGGGATGAAATTGCAAACCTTACGGGCCATCTCGAGCGGTTCATTTGCACATTCTTCAAGTCATTGGAAGCTAGGTTACATAGGGTGTTCCGTTGATCGACCACTACTTTGAGTAAGGATTGTGAGGTGAGTTGCCCTTCACCGGTGACATCCTGATGGCATGCTCACTAGATCTCACTGTGAAGGGCGGCTCTGTCATAGACCTCAACTCGGCCAAAACTTTGACCTCAAT